ATATTTAATGTCCTCAAATACATGAATTAAAATTTAATTTAAAATGAAAGACTAGAAGGAAATATGTCAAATGTTCCAAGTGATTGGTTGGGGGAGGGGGGGTGAAGAAAAATGGGAATGATTTTTCTGTAATTTTCTTAAGTGAGCATTATTCCTTTATGATACTGAAAAAAATGAACAAAAAAACTGAAAACACTTTTGCGTTAAGTACCTTATAGCTCTTTCTTAGAAAAACTAAATTAATGTGCTGTAATTGGTGTGTGCATATCACTGACCCTTGAAAATGGTCGTCTCGTTCCCCGAGGACACTAGACTGTAATATTCATCACCCTCCAAGCGGAGGCAGTAGCCTCCAGTGCCCCTCCTCCCCTCCCGAGAGAGCTTGGCGGCAGGGCCCCACTTACTGTTGTTTCAGTGGAGCTGCAGGGCTTCTTGGGCACCAGGCAGTGAGTGAACTGGATTCTCGGGTCTTTGGTGGTGATGGACAGACCTTTCTGCAGGATTTTCACCAAGCGGATCCAGAAGTGAAACACGGTCTCCGGGTGTCTTTCGTGGAGCTTCATGTAGTAGATCTTCTCAGTCACTGTCCTAATCCGCAGGATGCGCTGGAGCCGGTCACAGATTTGTAGCTCCACAAACTTCAGGGGGAGAATCCTGGACACAAGCAGGAAATTGCCATAGTGCAGGAGCCCAGGATTTGAATCCGTCATGCTGGTGCCTACCGAGAGCGTGGCTCAGCCTCCCTGGGCTCCCACCTCTGCGTGGGGAATGCACAGGGAGAGGGCTGGTGGATGAGAGTGGGATGATGACAAGGCCTGGCTCTTTCTGATGTCCAGGGCCTTAGTTATTAAAGAATCTGCCCACATCAATAACAAAGACTGAAAACTGCTGTAGACCACCTCTTCTAATCCTCACAACAACCCTTGATGAAGAAAAGGTAAGTATTATTAATTCCATTTTACAGATTTTTTGACTCTGAGACTTAGAGAAAGAAGCTAAGTGATTTTCCCATTATATTTAGATATTTTTAAAATTTATTGATTTCTAGAGAGAGGGAGGAAAGGAGAAACATCAGTTTGTTGTTCTACTTATTTATGTATGCCATTGGTTGCTTTTTTTTGGTTAATCCTCACCAGAGGATATTTTTTCCATTGATTTCCAGAGAGAGAGTGGAAGGGAAAGAGGAAGGGAGAGAGAGGAAGAGAGAAAGAGAAACATTGATGTGAGAGATACACATTGATTGGTTGCCTCCCTCATATGCAACCCAGAGATTCAAACTCGAGACCCTCTTCCCAGGCCAACACTCTGGCAGCTGAGTCATATTGGCCAGAGCAATGGGTTGCTTCTTGTATGTGCCCTGACTGGGAATCAAACCTGCAACCTTGGGGACATATCAGGATGATGTTCTAACCAACTGCTACCTGGCCAGGGCTGCCCAAGTTTAGATCTTTTTTTTACAAAAATATTTATTTAATTTTATTCCACTTAGATCTTAAGTAGGAACTGGGACTAAGATATTCTGACTCCATTCCCAGGTCTCCTTTGCCCTGTATCCTGATTAACACTGTTGAAAGAGTAGGAAGGGTAGATGTCTTCTGTACACCCTGTATTATTTTTTCCATCTCATCACCTCTTAATCCCATTTGGCTTTCATGCACCTCATTTTTTTTAAAACCCTCCTACGTTTTTATTGACAAAATGAAAGCCAAAATCCTCAAAAACTAGGCTGAGACAGACTGATACTCTACCCACAGTACCAAACACGGTGCTTGGTCTGTATAGATAGGCAATAATACCTGTTAAATGAATGAATGAGGTTCTGCACAGTTTGTACACTAAAGAACACTGTCCTTTCTTTTTATCTACAGCCCAATTGCAAGACAGTGCCGTCTGTCCTCCCACCCGCTCCGGCCCCTCCCTGAGGCCTTTCTTTACCTGCTGAGGGTGATGACAGGAGCACAGCCAGGTGTGTTGTGGGTGGAAAACTGACCCTGGGGCCAGGTGACGTTGGCCATCAGGAGGATGTTGGGGAGCGGCAAGGAGGGCACTGAGGAGGTAACCCCAAGGATCACGGTGGTGGTCGACCCTTCAGGGACATTCATCCAGTTCCCGGACTTAGTGACCTAGAAATCAGCCCCAGGTTCTTGGGTCAGAGAAGCAGAAGACAAGAGTGGAAGGATACAGGTGCTAGAAAGCAGTACTTAAAAAAAAAAAAAATGCCCATGGCCAGTGTGGCTCAGTGGTTGAGCATCAACCCGTAAACCAGAAGGTCACATGCCTGGATTGGGGGCTTGATCCCCAGTAGGGGGTGTGAAGGAGGCAGCTGATTAATGATTCTCTCTCATCTTTGATGTTTCTATCACTCCTTCTGTCTGAAATCAATAAAAAAAATATTTTTAAAAACAGAAAAGATAAAGAAAGCAGCACTTCAACTTAGTGACAAGCTTGGAGCACCTATGCCTCCTGCAGGCCCTACACTGGGGATCGAGTCCACAACTGGGGCATGTTCCCTGACTGGGAATCGAACTGTGCATCTCCTGGTTCATAGGTGGATGCTCAACCACTGAGCCACACTGGCTGGGTGCACCTGTGATTCTTACATGTGTTCAGTACACTGGGCTGGGCCATCACCTGCATCACCTTTTTTGTGGCTCTCCCCAAGTAGACAAGCTCATTGCCATTAGGAACGCTGTGTTGTCCTTTTTCGAGTCCTCTGCATCATCTAACTTTAGAAAGGATGCACTAGTAAGAAAAAGCTGAGGGGCACTAACATTTTATTCTTCCATTCTTGGGTAGAAGAAGCCAGCACAGGTTTCTAATGGTCTGGAAGGGAAATTGTGCAAAGAAAGTTCCAGAAGGGGAGGAGAGAGAAGAAAACCCCATACTGCTATAGGCACAAACAGGGGAACTTGAGACCCAGATCCTCCGGTATCACTAGCTGGAATGGCTTCTTCCTCCTCCCCAGGGCTTTAAAGGCCACAGCATTTCTGGACGAGTGCTGGAGACAGGTTTTGGAAAGGGAAAGAGCTGTCTCTGAGCTGCACATGGGTACCTGGATAAAGTTGCTTTCAAACACCGCAGAGTGGGAGAACAAGTTGAATTCTGGAGAATGAATCAGTTGACAAAGAAGGCCATCTTCCACCCCAAGTTCCACTCCAGGGCCTGGTTCCCTGACCTCAGGAGGGAGGCCCCTGATTTTATTCATTGACTCTTGGGAAGAATGGGCTGGGGAACATCCCTGGGGCTCCACACAGACCTAGCCCGACTGCAAGATGTTGTGTGACCACAGCTGCCCACCCCCCACCTCCACAGCTCCTCCTCTCCTCCTGACTTACAGGCTGTCCTCCAGACCGGGAGGGCGGGCCAGCCTGCCGGCTCACAATGGCAGGAATGACATCAGGAATGTGGTGGCAACAACAGGAAAGGAAAAAAAGAGGAAAGGACCGAATCAGGGAGGAGCAGGCTTTTCTCTCCCTTTTCTTACTCACTGCAAACGAGTGGTAATGAAGCTTATTCCATGTTTCACTCAATCTCCCCGAAAACATGAGGAAAATGAGTCTGCCAAGGTTATGCCAAGACAGCAGTGAGCTGGCCAGACAACAAGGAAGGCTCTCGGGGAAACCACAGCCTTCAATCTTCCCCATCACAGGGAAGCTTCTCACAACTTGCTCGTACTTGTGCCTGCGTAGGAATTACCTCAGGGGTGGAAAAGCGCATTGTGGATGTATTTTGTTACGTTGCATTCCGAAGAGTCCATGAAAAAGGAAAAAGAAACCGTGTTGTTGAAAATAGGGCTGCAGATTGGGAATGGACCACCAATTAGTTCCGTGATATTGCCTAAGTCACTGCGTTTCCTTCTGTTTCCTCTGTAGTAAAATGAAAAGGTGGCACCAGAGTTAAGGCCTCACGTTAATAATCAGTAGAGATTTAAAATTCATACTTGGAAATATCTGAGTGTGCTGTTCCCTTAAGCAGATGTAGTGAAGGCCAAGGGAATTCCCTTGATTAGGGCCCCATTCTGCTTCATGGGAGCGCATCCTTAGGCAAGTGTTGTTTTAAGCTACTGAGATTTTAGGGTTGTTGCTGCAGCATAACCTAACCTAGTGTGTCCTTGACTGATATGGAGATTGGAATCTAGAGGGCAGTGTTGCAATAAAAATAAAAAAAATATTTTTAAAAAATGCACCACAAAACCCTAGTATGTGTGACTTTAACTTCTCTGGAAGGAAGCAAAGAGATCTTATTGGATGCTGGAAGGATGGCAACCCATCTTATCCAGTAGCAGAGTATTTGGTAAAACCGTTGCCTGCAGTAACTTACAAGACATACATTAATCTAATTTATCTACAGTTAGGAGAACAAATTTTAGCAGCTTGAATTGAATACTGGCCCTAGCCGGTGCTAAGTGGTTAGAGCATCCACCCGAGCATTGAGGGGTCTTGGGTTCAATTCCAATCAAGGGCACGTACCTCGGTTGCAGACTATATCCCCAGCCCTGGTTGGGGTGTGTACCGGAGGCAACCAGTCGATGTGTCTCACATGTTGATGTTTCTCTGATTCACCCCTTCCCTTCCACTCTTTCTAAAAATCAATGGGAAAAATACTAGTATCCTCTGGTGAGGATTAACAAAAACAAAACAAGAGAATCGAATACTGTTGGTTGCTATTGACAAAGCGCCACAAGACGAGCTCAGAGAAAAACTGACGAGCTTGCAAGCAGGCACAAGGGATCTAGAGAGACTACAGAAAATCAGTGATCCTACAGGGTTCTCAGAAGCAACTGCCTCTCATCCCTAACTGGGAATAGATAAAATTCAGAAATGTTTGGGATGACAAACACCAATGCAAACTCAGTTTTGTAGGTAGAGAGACTGTCCTGGTTTGCCCAGAAGTGTCCCAGTTTTAGCACAAGTCCTGCATCCCAGAAAATACCCCTGGCTAGGCAAACAGGGACAACGACTTGTAGGAAAGATTAAAACAATGGTATGGCCATCACGTCTGTTGTTGAAACCTCTGAGCAGATTATTTAAGAGCAGCAATTTTCAACGGTTGTGCCTTGGCACACTGGCACGCCACCAAGGATTTTTAAAACATGCCATACCTATTTTGTCAGGGGCATTGACCTCTTTTCCCTTCGATTGTCAAATAAAGAAATGATAGCAGCCAACACAACAATAGCTGTCCAGTGTAAATGAATAAAAATTATACCTCTTTTTTTTTTCAGGTCAGCAAAAAATGTATTTTTTGAGGTGTTGCAGAATTTTAGTCATTAGTTTACATGTACCATGAGATGAGAAAGATTGAAAATCAGTTTTATCTATTTTTTATTTATTTTATTTTTTAAAATATATTTTTATTGGTTTCAGAGAGGAAGGGAGAGGGAGAGATAGAAACATCAATGATGAGAGAGAATCATCGAGTGGCTGCCTCCTGCACGCCCCCTACTGGAGACTGAGCCCACAACCCAGGCATGTGCCCTTGACTGGAATTGAACCTGGAACCCTTCAGTTCACAGGCTCTATCCACTGAGCAAAACCAGCTAGGGCTGAAAACCAGTTTTAGAGCAAAAGCCTGGATAAGGTCGTGGCACCCAGGAAACCATTTCAATTAAACTAAACTGCTTGGGGAGGAGACGTAAGGTATAGCTAGCTCTCCAGTTAACAGTTCAAAATACCTCGAATTAGTCAGAAGCATCTGAATGAGAAAATATATCGAAGTTAAGAAAATGTCTAGAAAGGACAGCTACTGGCATATGAAACTGCCTGAAGTCAGAGACAAAATACCAACTATATGTTTATGTACTACGCTACCAAAAGATGAGTCCTGTAAGTCCAGCTGATCGCAAAGGACCAGGGACTGGAATTGGAAATACAGTGGAACCTCAGTCCTTGAACTTAATTCATTTCTAAAGGCTGTTTGAGAATGATTTGTTCGAAAACCAAATCGTTTTCCCCCATTAGAAATAATGTAAATTGAGTTAATCCTCTCCAGACTCTCAAATGATTCAGTTTTAACCTTTCTTATGTACATGTCTAATGTACTGTTTAACCTATAAACACTTTTTTCCTTAAACTTATTGAACCACATCCTACTAGCCTTACACAATTTTTTCATATATCCCTGCCTCCCAGCTGCTTTTCACTTATCCAATCAACAAGTTTTCCTACCTATTCATTTGCCTGTAATTGCTGTTTTGTGAGCACTTTCACACCCTTAGCAACATTAGTACTCTTGATGGCCTCTTTGTTTTAAAGTTATGCTAATCCTCAATTTCTGCAGCAACAGAAGGATTATCTCCTTTGTCTATTGCCTGAGAGATGCTTTTTGTCATGCTGTTTGTTTTTTTGTCATGCTGAGGTATCAGTATGAAAGGGCTGTTAGGTCAAAAATTAAATTTGGTCTACAACTGAGTTTTTTGGTTTTTTTTTCTGTGAACAACTTGGTCAAGAACTGACTTGTTTGAGACTGGAGACATTGGAGAAACAAGGTTTGACTATACTTGATAAACAGCACTAATGACTACCCCAGTACAATAAATTTTGCCCAAGCCATCGGCTTATAGGGTAGTGGCGCTTAAGCTTAAGAACACTCAGGGAGCAAAACTGGTTTGGCAGAAGACACCAGGCTCCATTTTTACCTTTGGCAAAAGTAAATCAAACTCACCATATGTAAATTGACGTGCACACCAAGATAAGAGCGTGCATACCTTATTTTATCGCACTTCACGGAAGTTTTTTCTTTTCTTCACAGATGTTATCAACATCTAGACAAGACCCTCTACCAACAAAAAGGTTGACTCACTAAAGGCTCAGATAATGGTTAGCATTTTTTAGCAATAAAGTATTTTTTTAAATGTTTTTATTTATTTTAGAGAGAGGGATAGAAACATCAGCGCATCAACATCAACACTGATTTGCTGCCTCCTGCCTGCACCCTGTTGGGGATCGAGCCCACAACCCAGGAATGTGCCCTGACCAGGAACTGTGACCTCCTGGTTCATAGGTCGACGTTCAACCACTGAGCCACGCCAGCCAGGCTAAAGTATTTTTTAAGATATATACATTGCTTTTAAAGCATAACCCTATTATACTTAAAGACTACAGTACAGTGCAATCATAACTTTCATATACACTGAGAAACTAAAAATTTCATCTGATTTGCTTTATTGGTAATCTGGAACCCAACCCACAAAAATTTGAGATATGCCTATATATACCATAGGAGAGGAGTGGACATGCTTCAACATGGGGTGAGGATGGAAGAGTGATAGGTAGAACAGGCTAAACTGCTTAGACCTGGAAAAGAGCAGAAACAATCATCTGTGAGGTATGGCTATTAAAAACTTTTTGATTTAGAGAGGAAGGGAGGGAGAGATAGAAACATCGATGGGGGACAAGGGGACAAATAAAAAACACTGATCAGCCGTCGTCTCCTGCAGGTCCCCTACTGGGGATCCCGAAACCCGGCATGTGCCTTGACCAGGAATCTGAACCAGTGGCCTTTTGGTGCATGGGGTGACGCTCAACCCAGCCAGACCCACAGGGTGAGGTGTGGCTATTTTACCAGCCTACCTGAATAATCAGAATTGAGTAGCCATTCTGGTGGACAAGGTACAGAATAAAAAAGCCAAGGCTGCCCTGGCCGGTGGTCTCAGTTGATTAGAGTGTCATTCTGTGCACCGAAAGGTGGTGGGTTCAATCCCTGGTCATGCTGGAGGCAACTGATGTTTCTGTCTCCCCTCCTCTCTCTAAAATCAATTAAAAAAAAATGTTTTAAAGGCCAAGGCCTTCTGCTCCTCTGGCCCCGCGGTCTCCACGCCTCTCTCCCTCCCTCCCCCCCCCCATTCCTCCCTTTCCTCCTTC